TTTTAAAGTGGAGAAGGAGCCTGTGGAGCCTGATTTCTGTGACGTCTCTGAGGAGTCTGCAGTCTTCACCGGCCAGCGTCTTAACAGGAAGATGCAGGTGTACTCTGGTGCCAAGACCGTTTTTCTCCCAGCCATGCTGAGCTTGTACCAGCAGTGTATCCGCACCCTCCAGAACAACATTAACTGTGAGTGAAGCCCAGGAAGACATTTTTTCCTAGGCTCTGTTGGTTTATGTGTGATTTAATAATTAGGTGCAGGCATCTCTTCTTAGTGCTTTATGAAACTGGCGGGGTCCCGTTTGAAATCCTCGAGCCTGTGTTGGAGAAGTGTACCCCAGAGCAGCTGCTACGCATCGAAGAATGTAACCCAGTAAGAAAGTGACACGCCAACATGTTTAGTGCCCACTGCTGACCAGCAGTGGGTTTACTCCCCCCAGTTTGTACCTGTAAATCTGGGTTGAAAGCCTTGTTTATCTGCTTTTCCTTAACCACCTAATCATTACTGTTTGTGATATGGATTAAGAAATCAGTATTAAGAGCTTCATGCCCCTTTCCCAGAAAAGCAAATATTTACCCAATAGGAGTCAGGAGATCTACCAAATAACCTGAATATTTGTGGATATAATTTTTATGATAATGATCTAATGATAAGTACACAAATATAAATCTGGATTTAAAAGGTTAGCATTTTTAAATGCACTACAATGGTCATGCACTACTTAAGGCAGGGCTGTGAGGAACTTTGGTTTTCATTATACTTCCTGGTTGGTTATTAATTTATTAAATACTTTTCAGTCTATCTGGTATCAAAAGCTGAGAAGTGCACAATTAAAGTTCCCATTTTTACATCTTATGTTTGTTTAGAGAAATGGACCCTACAATAATGTGAAAATACCCATGAGCTGAGATTGTGAAATTGGGCAATCTGTTTATATTTTATATGAAAGGACAGTTACACAAATTCTTCCAAATTAGTTTTCTTTTGATCCTCTAGTCAAAGTTTTTTTCAGTCATCCTCCTTGGCTATCAGTACAACATATGATCTTTTTCATATAGGCAAGATTCAGCATGTTTTTGATACTGCCTATGTGTCTTCTCTGGGCCTTGGCTAATAAGGTGTACACCTTCAGTCAACAGAGAAGTCTAAACTTGCATGCCAATGGAAAGTGCATCTTTGTGAGAGGGCTCCCACACTTGGCATCGATGATTGAGCCACATTCAAACTTTTAGACTGCGCACGTCATGCAGAACAATATTTATTTGAATAACCTAATCTTCTGACCTCATTATGCTTTATTTATTTTGTTTTGTTTGGTTACAAAGTATGTAGAGGATGTTGTCTCCTCCAAGGAGGTTATATTTTTCGTAGCGTGTTTGTGTAATACTGTAAACACAATAGCTTGAAATATTCTAAGTGATTTCTAATTAAACTTTGTAGGGGTGTAGATTTGGGGTCATGTTAACAATCCATTAAAATTTGGTTTGGCCACAAGGTCTTCAAGGCCTGCACAAAAAAAAGGACTCGGAGACGGTGATTGTGACAAATGTAGTGTGTTTTGTCAATTTCACATCTGCCGTTCTATCAAATTGACCCCAAAATGCTTCTTATCTTTAAAGTATTGTTGAGAGAGAATGAGCTGCCTAATTAGAAATACACTGAAATATACTGTGTATACTGTGGTATATTATCGTTTAATAAGGTCAAGGTATTTATGTGAAGTTATTTACAAAATTAATGTCCATCTATTATTTGTGTAATGTAATATTTGTGTAAACATCTGTCATGGTGCTCTTACTGCACTACAAATTTCTTAATGTTTTTTTTCTTTTAAAGAAAGAACATTTTTTTCCCCATTCATTAATTTTGCAGATCTATGTCGGCGTGACAGACCATTTATGGGGCAAACATTGTCAGAGAGACTTCAAAGACTCCAAACTTCAAGAGTATGAATCATGGAAAGAGATGTACATCAGGCTATCTGAAGAGAGAGAAAGGAAACTCAAAAGACTGACAAAAACTATTGTCTCAGCACAATCTCAGAAACCCAAAGGTGACTGCTGTACACTGAATGCAACCCGGGTCATTTCTACTGGTGATAATTCAGAAATAAAACAGCCATATGGTCGATGCAAGACATTTTATTGATTGATATTCATCCAGAACTTCTGGATGAATAAAAAATCTGAAATTTGTATAAAGTAGAAGAAAAGCAGTCTCTAGTGATGTTTGTTTTGTATACTAGCTTTCATTAGACCTTTTTTTTTTTTTTTTTTGCATATCTTAGGTCGGCAGGTGAAGATGGCATTTATTCACACGGTTGCCAAGCCACCGAGAGATGTGCGAATTCAGCAGGAAATTCATGGAACTGCTGTTCAGCAGTCTCATCAGCCCAGGAGCAGGTGGGTTTCAGCGTCCTACATACAGATGATACATTTTCTGACCAGGTTTTCTTAAAATCACATTAGAGCATATTTTTCTAATGTGTATATATTCATATTCATGACATTTATATTATTGGTCTCAATATTAAGTACATGAACAAAAAGCCCATAAAAGAGCTTTTCTGGGGGATTTATATGCATCTGTTTATCTTTGGCAAAGTGTGGACACCTGGCTCGCTCTGTTCCTTTTCCACATAATAGCCCTTAACCACAACGTGATCACTAAACAACAGCAGCTTAGCGGGGTCATAACCCATCAGAGATTCATGTGATAACGGTGGGCGAAATGCTTTTTGGGTGAGCTTAGCTAAACACAGGAATTAGAGCAATGTGCTGGATAAACTGGTTTTATTCTAGTTGTAGAGAGCCTTGGGTGCTTTGTTGTGACTTGTTGCAACATGAGATGTGCTCACCAGCAGTGTGTAACACCGATCTTTGGAGGTAGATGGACACTAATTTTGTAGTTTCATCTGCATTGTTTGTTGTTTTTTTTTACCCTTTTAAATAGTTCAGTTTATTTATTTCCTCTGTTCAGTGTCAAGGTTCAGGACAATCGATCGAAGCAGAGTTATGAGCCCAGCAGGCCCAGCAGCACCAGTTCAGGGGGAAGCGGAACACAGGATGCGCGCAAAAAAACAAGTGAGCTGGTAGTTTATGGCTTTCCAAGCTTCCCAGATTGATTGCTTCAGTTGTTTCTTTTATGCATATTTTTCACTGATCATCAGGCTGGAGGTTAAATGAATACATGTGCCATGTGCATAGTAATCCTGACATAATTTTACCTGATGATTTATACTTTTCTTTGTTCTCACAGGAGTGGCTCCAATGATGGCGAAGTCCTTGAAGGCATTTAAGAAACAGCTCGGACGTAGATAAGTGTTTATACAATGCTACGGTGTGGATGTGCACAACATGAACTCGATCAATGATTAACTCTGGGCAGTAATAAGCCTGTGTTCACTTTAGATTATTCTGTGTTGCTTGTCTATATGTACTGTGATCAGGCAGTGCCATGTCTCTTTTCTGCAAGTTGTCTTCACTATTAAATGGGCCATGAAGTCAGCAAATTTACTTGGCTTTGATTTTGTCTCTGTTCTTTAAGGGGAACAAGGTCATCCATTTAATGGCATTTGGTGCCCTCTAGAGGGTATATTGTTAAATATTTTTCTCTTTTGAAATTGGAGAGTTCATAGTCATATTATATGGGCATTTTGGCATTACTGATATCATATCTCTCAGCTCTTGCAGGACTATAAATTCAAAACTGAATCCAAATGTAGCAAATGTGTCAACCTTATGTGCGGTACTGTGCAAAGTCTTGAGATATCCCTGATTTATTAATATTTTGCTCCAAAGAGCTAAAGCTGGACTCTGTTCTAATTTTTTTTTTCTTTTAAAGTGGTCTTGAGCAATAGTTGATGGAAGCCATTTCAACAGACAAAAATAATGGCTGCTTTCTTTGCTCATTTTGAATCCAGTAACCACTTTCAGAGGAATGTTTTGTTTAAATCACTTAACGCTGACCTGTGACTCATCCAGTTACAAAAAAGGCAGAAAACTCATAGGATGAACCAATGTTGTGCCTGCACATAACAGACAACTTGACAAACAAGCAGTTTTAATTTGGGCCTTTATGCACTTTTCTTTGGTCAAATCTGCAAAAAATCCAAAGATAAGTGTGATGGGGAAAATGGTATTTTTGCACAAGCAAAGGTTTCCAAAATGTTCTTTGTTGAAAATGTGGTATATCACTGCATGGCGTCATCTGTTTACTGAAGCCTCACTAGGCATGTCTGTGCAAAGGGTGTCTGTCAAGAAGTCATTAAGAAAGGGAGATGGGGAGAAAAGTCAAGAATTGGACTGCAACAGGTCTTATGGTGAGTGCAAATGTGAAACTTTTGGATTAAATGGTCAGTATATACGGAGGTCAGAGAGGTACAACAGTTACTACAGTCATCTGTAAAACAAGGTGGAGGATCTATCTTGGTTTAGGGTTGCATTTCAGCCAGTGGTGTTGGGGATCTTGTCAAGGATGAAATTTTCATCACAGCAAAGTGCAGATTGTGATCCACCATGACCAATGATCCCAAACATACTGCCAATACGGTGAAAGCATACCTGGATACAAAAACACACAATGGAGCACTAAGTCAGGGATTTGCGTCCCCAGAACCTGGACTTTATAGAAGCAGTGTGGGATCATCTTGGCAGAGAACGGAACAAACGGAAACTCTAAGGGTTAATGAAGCAGTCCTTCCACAAGAGGACCAGATAAATAAGACAAATGGAGCTGATGCTGACCCTTAGAAGGATATAATCAAGGGATTATTTGTCGTGCTCCGCACATTCCTCAAGTCTGACCTCGGCAAAGTAGCAGAGGGCAAAAGATGGCTGCAGCACAATGATTCACACTTGTGCAAACAAACTGTTAATGTTTCTGCATCTTCATCAAAGTCAAAGTGCACAAAGCCATTGTAGTTGACCTGAACCAGGTATACAGCTGTCAGTGGGTAATTGGTTGAACAGGGTTTCAATCCTATTGGATAATACATTTAAGAGTGGGAGTTGCCAAAGTCAATGCGTTAAGTGTCACACCTCCAAAAGTACAAAATGACAAAATACAGCAAGTACAACCACAATTCCAAAAGTTTGTATACTGTGTGAAATATGGAAAAAAAACAACCTGGAATGCAATGATTTGCAGATCTCACAAAACCACATTTTATTCTCAACAGAACACAGAAAATATAAAACGAGAATATGTATTGTTTTATTTCTAAGAAATGTATGAACTTTTTGCTTTTTTTGCTGTCAACAATTTCAACATAAGCTACTTTTTTTTTTTTTTTTTTTTTACAAAATAGTATAAAAATGTCTCGGTGTAAAGATTCTTCTATGCCCTATTGTGAATACAACAAACAGTTGCCCTCCATTTTTATTTACATTTTACACAGTCATTTTTCAGTCTGCATGTCTTAAAAGATGCACAGGGGCATCTCAAAATAGATGTTGTGCAGCTGCAGTTGATAAAGATGTAATGGAGGACTTTCCCAGTATGTGGTTGCATAAGTACCTGGTATTTTGACAATTAGAACACTGTGCACAGTGGCCATAGCAAAACAAACAACCATGCAGACTGGTTAGACAGCCATGTGAAGGTATTTCTGCATACAGGGGAAAATGCTGAAAAACTCAGTTACTTTTGGTGCTCTCGGGTGGCGCTTCATTAATAACAGAAGTGAAATTTTCTGCATGAGCTCAGCAACACTTTTGAAAACTACTGTCAGAAAACAGTTTGTCTCTGCAATCACAAAATCAAGTTAAAACTTGGAGATTCTGAGAAAAACAGAATTACAAGTAAAGCTTTGTTTGTTTTTGTTTTGTTCTTCGCTTTCCTTCTTGCCACTCTGCCCCCTGGCATTGTTACACTATACACATATAAATGTAACAAATCTAAAAAGAAAAAGAAATCGGCGAACAATATGAGTCAGGAGGAGACCAGGATTTTTCTTGCTAAAGGTGCCACAGTTTAGTTAAAAAGACACAACAGAAAAAAAAATGCTGTAACTTTTTCTGGGTACAAGCTCATGTAAGATGGACTGAGGCAAAGTGGAAATCTATTGTGGTTTCTGATGAATCTATATTTAAGGAAATTTTTTGGAAATTCTAGACGATGGTCTCCGGGCTAAAGATAAAAGGGACCATCTGACTTTTTACCAGGGCGAGTTTTAAAAGCAAGCCTCTGTAATGTTGTGGGAGAGTGCATGTGGCACAGACAGATACATAAATGCCCGATTAAACAATGACATTTTATATATAAGCTCTTATTTGGTTTAGTGGCTCTGTAATAAAAGAGTCCAGGGGAAACTGGTCTTCCAGACCTGGCAACTAAACATTTAGTGCTTTATGAAGAGCAG